GAATAATGCTTCTCCTGGAGCATGCCCGTTATGTGTGATAGTGTTTGGAATAATGCTTCTCCTGGAGCATGCCCGTTATGTGTGATAGTGTTTGGCTATTGGGCCACTTTAGCATGGAAGGTTGGAGTAGCTATGGAGGATTCAGCTCTAGATGCTCTCGCATGGACTTTGACAGACAGTTCTGATCTGTTCTAGCTCTGATGTATGATTTGAAGGTTCCCCGCTGGGACTTCCAGACCGGGAGGCAGCTACGTACATCTCCTCTCTATGACCGCTTGGATGCACAAGGAGCCCAATGGATGGAGAAACATGGGTTTGAGAGGCCAAAATACTTTATTCCACCTGATAAAGGTAAATCTCACTTTTGGTGCTTGGCTTTTGTTTTGTTCAGAGAGTTAATAAAACTTATTTCAAAATATGTAACTAGACTGTATTCCTAGAAAAATAAGCCATAAAAACCGTTTATACCACATTAAATTCTAGAAGGCGAGGCCCAACTGTCAGCCCCTCCCCCTCTTCCTCACTGTCATTTTCCCATTCCCAGACCTCCTGGCACTGGAGCAGAGCAAGACCTTCTATAAGCCAGACTGGTTTGAGATTGTGGAGTCGGAAGTCACGTGCTGTAAGGAGGCCGTGTGTGTCATCGACATGTCCTCCTTTACAAAATTTGAAATAACAGTAAGTATTTGGAAGCCAAAGTAAGAAATTGAGGAATTTTTCTTGTTTATTGAATACACCTGTCACTTCAAAACTGATTTAGTAAGAACTCTGCAATGTTTTAGTGCTTCGTCTGTAGTATAACGTTTTTTCTGAATTTTGAACTCTGGTTTGAAGTTTTCATTTGCTTAGAGAGGCCTGTTTATCATCAGAACTACTAACTAGCCTTTCTTGAGCCCCTTGCAGTGGAATACAGTTGCCTGGAGCTGGCAGACTGTGTTCTCGGCAAGTTGCATCGCTCTTCAGGCCACATGGCCCAGAATTGTGCTCACTCTGCTTCTCCCTCACTCCACAGTCCACTGGGGATCAGGCCTTAGACACTCTGCAGTACCTCTTCTCCAATGACCTTGACGTGCCTGTGGGCCACATCGTGCATACTGGCATGCTCAATGAGAAGGGCGGGTATGAGAATGACTGCAGCATCGCACGGCTGAACAAGCGCAGGTGAGTTTAGCCTCCGCCCTGCTCTGCTCCCTCAGCACACGTCATCTCTCCAGGCACTGTAGCATGGCAGAGCCTTTCACTCCTTTTCCCAGCAAACCGTACTTAGACTGAGGACAGAAAAGCACCACTGCGTCAATTCCCACCCAGCTCACTGGCAACACAATGTAAAAACACATCTATTAAAAAGAAGAAACTTATCAGATTCTGTAAGACTCACTGTAGAAGAATGAGTTGTTCTACTAGGAAAGATGCTGAATCTCATGTTAGGGAGTTTGTGTAATTTTTGCCACCAGTAGGAAACCAGAATCATCTACTTTGTCATTTTATTATGTGGTAAATCCCAGAACAGGGCTCCCACCCCTCCCTGAAACCTAAGAGATCATTTGCCGCTGTTCTGTTCATTGCTTCAAAATAGATGACAACACTTGCTACAGGTAGGCTACCTTTCAATCAAAAGAGTAAATTGGCTTCTAAAATAAATAAATACGCCTGTTCAGTGTTGTTTTCCCCTAAACAACTGGTCAGCCTCTACCCGGAGCAGAGATGAGGAAGGAAAGAGGGGAGGGGAACGAGAGCAGTGGGAGCAGAGCCCAGAACGGGAATCATGGGACACTGACACTGTGTACAAATTGTGACCAGCTTGCACAGGGTAATTTGTATAAGAATTGTTACAGGAGGACCTACTTTACTGTGTACATTTTCATGTAGAAGACAACAAAATGTTATTTTAAAACTAGGTGAGAACCCACATATCTTAGGATCACCTAGTTTTTGACAAGGGTGCAAAGTCCATCCGGCAGGGAAAGGAAAGTCACACCAGACTTGGAAGCAAATTCAACATGAATGAAAGGCCTGATGTGTATATGAAAGGAGGGAATTCTTAGAAGAAACTACAAGGGCTGCATTGTGGGCCCAAGATTTCAAGAATAGATCATCTAATATAGTAAAAGCATAAGCAGTATGGATTTTTAAAAAATTAAAATCATTTATTAAAAAAAGAAAGTTTATATTTTATTTTGTTTTTTAATTAAAAAAATCATTTTATTGGGGACCCTTACCGCTCTTATCACAATCCATACATCATCCATTGTGTCAAGCACATTTGTACATCTATTGCCATCATCATTCTCCAAACATTTGATTTCTGCTTGAGTATCAGCTCATTTCCCCCCCTCCACTCTGGCCTCCCCCTACGGCATTATGTTGATTTAAAAGAAAAAAAGAAAAGATAAAACAAGCTACTAACTAGGAGAATTTCCTCAGAAACCATAGCCCCAAAATTCCAAACTCACTGCCATATGTCGTCTGCTCAGAGAACACTGCCTCTGTGGCCTCCAAGGCAGTTCCCTCTGAGGGAAGTAGAAAGCCTTATCTTTCTCCGGCTACGCAGCTTATCGTTTTGAATTGCTGGCCTTGTGGTTAGCAACTACGGCGCCTTGGCACCTTTTCAGAAGCCATATATACAATAAGAATCTTGTAAACAAAATAATATTTAAAACTTCAACTTAACAAAAATAGCCCAGTCATAAGGGCTTGTATAGTCATTTTACCAAAGAACATGAAAATGGCCCCCAAGTACATGTACTTCGATACCATAAGCTCTCAAAGATGTAAATCAAACACAATGAGAGACCATTTCATTTGCACTAGGAGAGCAAAAAAGCTCTAGTGGCACTTGTCAGGTAAGCATTGGGCTGCCAGCCTCAAAGTCAGCAGTTCAAACCCACCACTTAACTTCCCAGTAGACCAATGACGTGATCTGCTCCTGTAGAGTTCTACAGTCTTTCTTTTTTTTTTTTTTGGTCTGGGCCACACCTTTATTTTCAGTGACTCAGGTACTCTGCAGCCTTAGTCTCTTTCCCAGCCAGCAACAGCTTCTCCGGTACGTGCAGCTAGGATCCATGAAGCCCCCACCACTCCTGAACTACTTTATCTTCATGGCCAGTCTCTAGCAATCTATTGCTGCATTCTTCCCACCGGGTCACCTCCCCCTTCTCGACCACCACAAACTTCCACTGCACCACTGTGTAGGCTGGCAGGGTCTACAGTCTTTCAAACTTTACCTGGGGCTGTTAGGAGTCAGAGTCAACTTGATGGAGGTGGGCTTGGGTAGGATGCTAACATACTGAGTTTTTTGGCGGGGAGGTTTTAAAAAAATACATTGGTAAGCATGTCGGGACATTGGAACCTTTATCTGTTGCTGGGGGAATGCAGAAAGGTAAAGAAAGGTTGTGGAAAAACTATTGCTCTGAGATAGCCTTTAAACCTTGAACTAAAATTATTCCCTAAAGTCTTCATCCAACCAAACAATAGTCTCTATTGTAAACAAATAAGAAAAAATGTCTATCAAGAAGCTGGAGATCTATTTCAGTGCAATAGGAAACCAGAAAGATGCAAACACTCAAGTGGAATTGATACGACTTTTGTCTTCATGAAATTATTCAAATTATTATTTAGATAATTCATTCAACTCAGAATTCATGAATAGCTACTTAATATCTATGCAGTCTTGCACCAGGACTGGGAGCAGGTAGTAAATGGGATAGACCTTGGGACAGCAGCACACTCTGAAAGCATTGTGACAAAGTGCTCGAAATTGGCATGTTTTAAGGGGACTAGGAAGACGGTAAATATGAAGACGTATTCCAGGCAACGGTGTCTTAAATATCTGCATATGCACACAAAAAACGTGGCATATTGGGAATCAATAGTTTGCTTTGACTCCATCCTTAGGAAGGTTATTAAATGCAGCTGAGATTGCTTAAGCCATCAATGAGGTTAAACTGATAAACCCATTTTACATTTTTTAATGTAAATTAATCATTTTACTGGAGGGGGTTCTTAACAAATCTTATAACAGTCCATCATTCAATTGTATTAGGCACACTTATACATATGTTGTATCAACTCATTTTCCCCCTCCCACTTTACATTTTTACAGCCTGATTTCATCATAGTTATGTAAAACTGCTTCTGACTTGAGTCCTGTATGAGAATTGTACAGGATTGACATAGTGCTCCATTTGTTTGTTTGTCAATTTGCCAACCAATGACACATGTCTTTTTTTTTTTAATCGTTTTATTAGGGACTCATACAACTCTTATCACAATCCATACATACATCAATTGTGTAAAGCACATTTGTACATTCATTGCCCTCATCATTCTCAAAACATTTCCTCTCCACTTAAGCCCCGGGCATTAGGTCCTCATTTTTCCCCTCCCTCCCTGCTTACTCTCCCTTTACCCTCCCTGTTTCGCCACTCACACCATTAATCCTGACACCTATATCTTTTCCATGAACATCATCTGTTTGTATAATAAATTTTCTCTCATTATTTGTCATTTGAAAAAAAAAGTCTAGTCTTAAGATCTGTCATGTGGAATGAAATGGACACACAGCAACTGGAAAGATGGAGTTAATGCACATAGGGAAGGGCCAACTCTGAGAAGGGTGAGAATGGTTGCAAAATTAGGAGACCTTTCAGCGTCGCTGAATTGTACCTGTAGAAATTGTTGAATTGATGTTTGTCCTGCGATGTATAGTCAACTACAACAAAAATACATATATATATATTTTTAATCAATTTATTGGGGCTCATACAATTCATCACAATACATGGATCAATTGTATAAAGCACATCTAGACATTTGTTGTCCTCATTATTCCCAAAATTCGCTTTCCTCTTGGGTTCCCGGAATCAGCTCATTTTCCTTTTTCCCCCTCCCCTTCCCTTCCTCCTCCCCTCTCCCCCATGCACCCTTGATAATTAATAAATTATTATTGTATCTTATATTACACTGTCCGGCGTCTTCCTTCACCCACCCCTCTGCTGCCCGTCCCCCAGAGAGGAGGTTATATGTAGCTCCCTGTAATACATATATTTTTAAACTTAGATGAAAATGGGATTGTTACTTGACTTTTTGCTACCTGGTTTTGATGACTCTCGGGTCTCGTTTTCAGTTTCTTCATGATTTCCCCAACTGACCAGCAGATCCATTGTTGGTCCTGGCTGAAGCAGCACATGCCGAAAGACAGCAACCTGGTATTGGAGGACGTCAGCTGGAAGTACACTGGTAAGGGGCCACCAGGCCAACGCAGCCAGCAAAGGCCATTCGTCCCAGGTTATTTCTCTCCAACATTTGCGTTATTGTCTGACATTTGAAGAGGACTGTCTACATTAGTGTGGATGAGGCTCTCTACTCAGAGAAAACCAGCCTCCCTTTTTTATAAATGAAGCATGAAATGAATTAGTAGTAGCCGTTTTGTTTACTTTCACCTCCCTACATGTAGTATTTAGGAACTCAAATATTTGTTGAATGAGTAGCAAATTGTTTTCAAGGAGTTTTCTTCAGAATGACTCGATTTCCTGCCTCAGTCTACCTGCTGGGGGAGCAGCTCTTTCTCCACCTCCATACTCCCTGACCGCTGCTCCTGCCTACTCCAGTCAGCTCTTTCTCCCGCTCGCATCCCGGCCTGCTGCCCTCTTCCTTCGCCTTCTGAATTTGTTCCTAGGCCATCAGTTTCTTGTAGTTGCAAATGTGATTAACTTCTTGCTTCTAGATTGGCAAGCTACGGGCTCTTATTGGGCAAAAGCTGTGTTCTAGGACTAGCCTATACTAGGTGGTGGTGTTGCGTGCCACTGACTTGGTTCTGACCCATGGCGACCCAATGGGGGCGATGGACAGCCCTGGCAACGGGCTCATATCCCATTGGCCAGAAGTTGGTCTCTTAATCCCACATTAACTGCATGTGAGGCTGTGGATGCTGTCTTCCTGTGTACCTAACCAGGCCCTGGCAGCCAGCACCAACAGTCACCATGGTTGGTAGCCTGCTTGTGGAGAGGCGACTCAAGATGCCCTGTGTCCGTGCTTAGCGCGCTGTACAGAGATGCTTCATGGTCTTAGCAGCCAAGCCTTGCCCTAGGCCAGCAAGCCCAAAATGAACCTCCCATCATTCCACCTGCAATACAAACCGTGTTCTTTTCTGTTTAGCCCTCAATCTGATTGGTCCCCGTGCCGTGGACGTTCTGTCTGAGTTGTCTTATGCCCCTATGACATCTGACCACTTCCCAAGCCTTTTTTGTAAGGTGAGTACTAGTAAAGTTCTTTTTTTTTTCCTTCTTTTTTTAAGTTCTGTTTTTTAAATCAGTGGGGAAGTTTTCTTTTATACCCATTACTCACTATGGTTAGGTAAATGAAATTTATGCAAAAAGGGAGAATAGCCACTTCAGATCACAAAAATGAAGGATGGCTATAGCATTACGTTGGTACCAAATTATAGTATCTTTCACTTAATGTTGTGAAAGGAATTATAGCTTAGTGAAGGAAATGCAGACTGAGCACTCTGAAGCAGCTGATTCAGAGAGGTCCAACCTCTAAGGGGCCACTAGTTGCTGTTAGTTACTCTCCGAAGTGCAAGCCAAAGTTGGGATGCCCTACAAATTGTTTTTACAGTTTACCTCTTGCCTGCAGCACAAAGGGAGCAACAGGAAACTCTTGGTGGTCATCAGCCAGCCCTTTCAGACAGTTCTCTGCGTCATCGTTCATAAACCCACCTCCGGGGAGGGCCATGTTGTGACAGGCTACTAGGGAAGGGGTTTGCTGTGCACTGTCATACCCCTCTCTCTGATATGGACTGGTGGTGGATTCCGGAAGCTGAGCTATGTTTTGGACTTGAGAAGCTAGGTCTCTGAGCCCAGGTGATAAATAGGCCTCAGGCATTGGGCTTGTGCAGCAGGTCCTGGGATTTGTCTGCAGAGCCCTCGGTCTTTGTTGCCCTGATCACCCTGAGTGAGGGTTCTTTGGCAGGACTAAGCAAAGAGAAGTCATTATGCTTAGCAAAGATGTTGCCGGTGCTTCCTCCCATCAATGGTCTAAAAATCTCATGGAAGCCAAAGCTCAAACTGACCCCGTTACCGTGGAATGACCCCAGAGGAGACTGCTCCATCCGTCTCCTACAGAGTGGGTGTGAACCGCTGACCTTTACGCTACCACCTGTGCTTCTCATCTCGTGAAAAAGAATACTGTCAAGGCAGGCTGAAAGTTTCCCATACAGTGTCTTTCAGGCGTAGATGTCATGAGAGCGGTTACCGAAGCGTCCGTTCCTCCCGCAGGTGTGACTTGAGTCTAACTCCCTAGAAAACGCTTCCGAGGCTGACTTCTCCCTTTGCTTCCTTAGGAGATGAGTGTTGGCTATGCCAATGGCATCCGGGTGATGAGCATGACCCACACAGGAGAGCCGGGCTTCATGCTGTACATCCCCATCGAGGTAGGTGCCTCCTCCTTGGCCCCCACAGTCCCCAAGAGGTGTAGGAGCTGTGTCCCATGTGGCCTTTGTGACCATTGAAGAAGGTAAACATGTTTACCCAAGGTCTTTACACTCTTTTTTAGAGGTAATATATTCACGTATTTTTAAAAAATTAAGTAGTAAATATTCAATACTGTCTGACCATTTCCCACCAACCACCACCACTAGTGAGAGATTAGCTTTTTGGATGGCTTTATCAGATTTTTATGTCACTAGAAGCAAGTCCAAAGACATTCTAATCCCCACCCCCCACAGCATTTCTCTTTAGTGAAAACATACATGGCTGAGCATAGACCTGGTCGCAAATCTCTGCGTGCAGTTCAGTGACGTTGGCTCCATTTTTCATGCTGTGTCACCTTCTCATTGTCTCCTCATCTCCCCGCCCCGCACCCTGTGTTGTTGCAGGACCAATGACGAGACTCAGGCACTGCTGTCAGTCTGCCCTGGTACAGAGCGTCTGTCCGGGCGCACACGGCTCATAGCCTGTGCTCTGTACCAGTTCATTCTGCTAGAGTGTGCTGGCTTTGAAGACAACTTCAGAGAACAGTCTTGGCTCAAGACTCCAGTTTTTCTCAAGGCAGCAGATTCAGGCTTCCTCCAGCTTACCCCTCTTTTTAAAAACACAAATGGAAGCCAACTGCTGTTCCTCATTGGGTTTTTTCCAACTAACCATTTATCTTAGAACTCCTCCCATGTTGATACCTAAAGCGAACTTCCCCTTTCTCTGTAATCCCTGACCTGGTACCCTCCCATCAGATGGTTGTGGCATCATACTGGCCCTTTGCCACAGGAATCTGCGCTGTACAAGATGACCTCTTAGCTCATCATGAGCACCACACAGAGCTGTCGGACTTGAAGCTCTCCGCCAGCTGACAAGGGGACACCAGCTCACCACTCCTGGGCTGAGGCTCCAGAGAGCGACATCGTGGGAAGATGACCTTCTCCTTTGTCCGTGTTAACAGTGTCCCTCTCAGTCACGTTCTGCATCCAGTGCTGGGGGACTTGCTGGTGACTAACAGTCCTTCCACCTCTCTCTGCAGTATGCCCTGCATGTCTACAATGAAGTGATGAGTGTTGGGCAGAAATACGGAATCCGAAACGCAGGCTATTATGCTCTCCGCAGTCTCCGAATTGAGAAGTTTTTTGCCTTCTGGGGTCAGGATTTAAATACCTACACCACCCCCCTGGAATGTGGACGAGAATTCCGGGTGAAATTAGAGAAGGTACTGTGTAAACCCTCCCTCCACACTGCCCTTCTGTCTCCTCCGTGGGCACATTGGCATTACACTGGGAGGAGGAGATAGGGATGTGAGCATCAGGGAGCTCAGGATGACTGGGATGTCCTCAGGCTGAATTTTTCACTATGAGATAAAACCAATTAAGCAGAAAACTCACCAGATGAATGACACTTGTCTGCAGCACTGTGCTTTCTCTAGGCTGGGAGCTTTCTCGGGAGTTCCTCTGAATCGATCATGGTAGTTCATTAACAGTCCATGAATATTGGTCATCTCACAGTCAAGCTGCCCAATGTTTTGCTTGTTTACAAAGTAATACATGAACATGGTTTTTTTCTAACATCTTAGTTTAAGAGAATGTACAGTGAACTAGTGAGTATTTCTAACTCTGTGCCCCACCCAGTCACCTATCCCCTTTGCTAGAAGACCCAGTTGCTGCTCGTCCCGAGTGTCAGTGCATGCGGATGTGGAAGTGTATGACTCCCAACCCATCCCAGCCTTCCCTCTCTTCCCCAGGGAATGGATTTCATCGGCCGGGAGGCCCTGCTGCAGCAGAAGCAGAACGGGGTGTATAAGCGCTTCACGATGTTTATCTTGGATGACCATGACACAGACCTGGACCTCTGGCCTTGGTGGGGCGAGCCCATTTACCGAAACGGGCAGTATGTTGGCAGAACCACCAGCAGTGCCTATAGCTTCACCCTGGAGCGCCATGTGTGCCTGGGCTTTGTGCACAACTTTTCCGAGGACACCGGGGAGGAGCAGGTGGTGACGGCAGATTTCATCAACCGGGGAGAGTATGAGATAGACATCGCGGGGCACCGATTCCAAGCCAAGGCCAAGCTCTACCCCTTTAGCTCCCTCTTCACCCTTAAACGCCGAAAGGATGACGTGGAGCTCAGTGACTTCCATGGGAAATAGTGGCTTCACCTCCGCTCCCCGTCATCTCCTCCCCCGAGGAGGATACCTGAGAAGTGGCCCGCTCTTCCTTCTGGCTCCTTCCCTCTTCTGACCACCGCCTTCCATCTCGTCCGCCTTGATAGAATCTTAACTTTGGCTCCTTTCAGTCTTGTAGTTCTGCAGCCTCTCCTTCCAGCTTCTCCCCTTTTGTAGTCCCCCCTCCCCGCCCAGTCCTCTCTCTGGGCTTTTCGTCCTGTCATATCCTGGGGTGACAGGAATATGTCTAACAGCCACGACGGGAGTGGGCTCCTGGTGGAAGCGGGTTAGGTAACAGGCTGCCTTTAAATGCTGTGTCTCCGAGCAAGCAGGACTGCTGTCGCTGTTCCGGCCTCAGGGCAAGAGCTCACTTCCCTTGGGCCAACTTTCCTTGACTGACTTTGGTGAGGTTTCTAGAAGTCAGTCTCAGTCTCGCCCTGTGGAATAGCTTGTGCCTTTTAGCCAGGCAGCACGCTCGCTCTCCTGTTCCGTTGTGCTGTGAGCGTGGTGCTCCGACACCCCTAGCAAGAGGGTGATCATCTACCTCACTGAGAAGAGGCTTGGGAGGGGCATTACTAGGCCTGCATTGCAGACAGGCAGTTGACCGATCCCATGCTCCACCCTCCACCTCCCCGTGGAACCTACTGTCAGGGCTTTGGGCAAGAGAACCCTTCCTGTCGTTTCCTGTCTCGTTAATCTCTCTAACAAGTGATGATTCTCTCTAGGGGAACAAGCAAGCCCCACGGTGGGAAGGGAAAGCTATGTTGCCTTCTGGTTTACTTTTCCCAGCCTGCCGACGGGCCCGACTTCAAGAAGTGCACATGACAGAGTTGGCTTCTGCTGTCCGGACAGTGCTGCTTTCCTTTCACCTCTTCAGAGGTCAGGCGTCCCACCGCCATGCTCCTCTTCTCCAGGTCAGCCTCACCCATCCGCTCTGCAGCAGACCTACAAGCTCAGAACTGGCAAGGCATGTCATCCTGTGGTGTGATGAAACCCTGAGTCCAGAGTTTGCCTTCTGCAACACGGAGCAGACCCAGCCACCTAGATGGGCACAGTGTGGAGGGCGGGCTACAGAAGCCACGAGGTGCTCCCTCCTCTCCCAGGCTGTTTCTCTTCTCGTCTCAGAGCTCCTCACAGCTGGACTAGAAAGGTCCCTAGATACCATGGGAGGATCCTTCATGTTCTTCTTCAAGGTAACTTTTCTGAAGGTAACGATAGATAATGCAGGCTGTTGCCCAGTCCAGCAGTTCATTTTCTCCTGGGTGGAGATGGCTCTAATATGTTTCGTGTAAACACACTGCTGCTAGAGATTTTCATTGAATCATAGCCTTTGTTGGCTTGATAGCTTGCAAGCATTAGCTCTGCTGGGACTATCTGATATTATAGAAAGTCCTTTCATTTTATTTGTGCAAATGCTCAGGCATCTGCTTTCTCTGGGATCTCAGCTTACCCACTTAACCAGGCTGGTACCTTGTCCCTTTTAGACATTTCTTGCCATTTCTCCAGTGAGCTCATTTCTAATTGATGACTAACTCTGATGTCTATCCTTTTGGGGAGTCTTGGTTAGCTTGTTGAGAGAGCATATGACTAGAGTTCTGTGGGGGGACTAAGCTGTTTTTGGAGCAACTGTGTATTTAACTAACTGAGAGATGCGACTTCCAGGCAAGGAGGAGAGAGGCAGAGCAGTGTCATTTCGCCAAAGGGCAGAACTGAGTACCCCAGCAGCTGGGCAGGACGCTGGTGTGCAGGAGTGGGCACATGGCCAGATGCAGGCGCTGCCAGAAGATGGAAACCATACATGGAGGCCCAGGTGCCTGTGACACTCAGGTGCATGGCATTTCTCTGTCCAGTGTGGTCTTTATAAATGAGAGTTTGAGATGAAATCCAGAAGGAATGCTTGATAAATACCTAGATCTTCTTCCCGCAGCCTTATGTGGGGCAATATGTGTGCTGTGTGCTGGCCCTGTGGAAGTGTCAGGTCACATAATTAGGCCCACAGTGATAAACTAAAAGTTCCCCCCATAGTTTAAAATTGGGGAATTCCATCATCACAGTGTACTATTTAAAGGGAAGTGTCACCAGAAGTATAGGTACTCTGGAATTTTAAGACTTTGGGTTTCCTTTTTTTTTTCCCTATACTTGTTAATCTCTAATGGTTTCACTGATTCGTTCTCCTTTCTACGAAGTAGGAGTCAGTCTTGTGAACCCGAATTACTGGCCTCTTGATTCTTACTGTCTTACTCTTGCCCCTTGGAGCCAGCACAACTGTGCTTCTCTTGGCAGTAGGACAGGACAAGTGGGACAGGCACTTTGGATGGTGCTTTGAAAGTGTCTGGTTCTTAAATAGGTGCCATGAGATGCTGGCAGGTCTTGACCTGGGGCATCACTTGTTTAGGGAAGACCCTGAAACATCCGTCTGTCCCTTATTAGGTCTTTTGGCTTATAGGCAGTGTGACTCTGGGTTTGTGTGGATTTGGCCCTAGTGTGAGCTATTTGAATGGGCAGAGCTGAAGGTGAGTCTCTCCTGCCTCTGGCAGTGTCATATGCACCTTAGATGGTCAAGAGGAGAGGACAGTTAACCTTGTTGACCCAGTGGTGGCAGTGGGCGAGGTCCAGGGGTACTGGCTGCACTTGCAGCGCATGAAACACCCTCACTTATTTGGTGTCGTTTCCTTCTCTTGGGCACCAGGGCACAAGTGTTTGCCTTGTGTGACAACTGCTTTCCCTGGAAACAGGAAGGGCTTTGAACCTCTTGAATGGGTGGCGTGGCTGCACTCAAACGTTCAGCACCTGGGCACTTTTTCCTCTATGAAATGGTCGTTTGTCCTGTCTTCTGTCTCTGAGGCAGAAAGGCTGTCCTTCTCTTCTGTCTTGTCAGCGTATTCAGCTAAAGAATCTCTTGAGCCTAAACACAGAAAATAGACGAAGACCCAGAGTTGCGGCCTACTGTCAACCCATGTCGCTGGCCCTGGACTCACACCGTATGTGAGGCCTGTTTCTGAACTCTGCCGGCCCCGTCTGGCTTTCGGGAGCTTGTACCAGAAAGCGTCTCTTCTGCAGTAGTTGAACGTGTGTGTATTTGGCTGTGTGTCTTTTCACCAGGAATGAGAAGAAAGCACTCCCTGCTCTGTCACTTTCAGAAAGGTCACAGGGCACAAGACAGGCACAGACATAGTGCTTTCCCTTGGGTCTCTGAGGCCCAAACCTCAGGGACACAGAACCGGTTGGCCTAGCTTACCCCACAGATTTAACTTGGGCCTCAGGGACCCCATTTCTGCAGGAGTCAAGTCCAGTCCCTTCAGTTTGGTTCTCCTCAGGAGGAGAGGGACAGATGGTGGCTCCTTGTGGGCCTGCTGCCTTCTCTTCCGGAGCTGTTTCAGCTCTCACAGTGACTCTGTCTTTGCATGCACTTGAAATGTTAACCCCATCCTCCACCACCACCATGAAGTATCGGTGGTATGAGAGTGAGAATGGTTAACTAAGTGGAACTGCCTGTCTGAAGAGGTGATTCTGGCTCAGGACACGTGAGTCTTCACCATCCTCTGGGAGTCTGTGACTGCTGAGCGGACTCGTCTGTCCTGGCCACTGTGGAATACGTGTCCTGATAGAGCAGCTGCACTCGCTGCAGAAGGACTCGCTCGCATCTCTCTCTCTGACCCCTTGACCAGTAGAGTGATCAACGCTTCCCCCAGCTCCCCAACCCGTATCTGAGATGCAGGTCTCATCGGCAGTTGTTAATACTGAAGAATGTCATTTTCATTCCCTTGCTGCACCCGCAACCCCTCATAAACACTGACGTGAACAGTATTGTATCAACATAGTCAAGGGAAATTTCCTCACAAGGAAAGAATTTACACCCTCGTACATTTGTAGGCCCGTGGATTCAGGAGAAGCACAACTGAGAGGAAGAAATGGTAGCTAAACAATAGCCATATTCCACGTGCTTCCAGTCAGGAATGAGCCACTTTGGGTCAGCCTCCTGTCGGTCAGTGCTGCCTCCGCTTAGGGGCTGAGTTGTGAGGCTCCTTGATTGTCAGCACAGCTGGACCATCTGCAGTCCTTATCGCCTCCAATGCTCGCTCTCCAAGAGGACGAGTGGGTGTGGGTGTCTGTCTGTCTCTCTCTCTCTGTCTTTGCCTTCCCTTGCTCCAGAGTTGTTTCTTGTACCATATGACTCATGGCTTCTCTTAGCAGAACCCGAATCTCTTAGAGAAGCAAGCATTTCTTCATATGCCCTCTTCCTCATGATATTTTTATCCATTGCAGACCGTCTTCTGCTTGCTTGGTTTCCTGTCTCTCAAAGACAGCAGTTGCAAGAGGCAGGGAGGTTATCTCTCGTATCTGTTTTCAAAAGATCTGTGCTAGGATTTTCTTTGCACACCGAGAACCAGAGCTTAGAGCCCCTCTTTTCTCTAAGCCAGGTTCTAGTGCCTTACCCTCTGGAATGTCCAGTGGTGGGAAGAGACAGCACAAGAAAAGCAAAGGCAGTAACTTCATTTCAGCCTGTGGGGCTCCATCCGCCCCAGATGAATTGGGCGGGGCAGAAAGTGCCGGAAGCTGTGATTCGGTGGAGGCACAGTGGACTCCGGCCGGCCGACTCCTGGGATGTAGACAAGCGGCACTGTGTAACTATTGTGAAGTACTATAGCTCGTTCTTGAGAGTTTTTAAAAGGGAAGTTCAGCTCAGCCCCTTTCCGTTCATGTTTAGCATTAGAGGGTGGTCCTGATGACTCACGAGGCACTTCAGCAAGTGGAGTCTTCGAAGCAGAGACTGTTGGCACAGAGCCTGGCCGAGCGATTCTGCCCTCCGTGGGCACGTGGTTAACATTGTGCACTCTGTTCATATCGAGCTAGGTTCCTTGGTTTGTAAGTGAATAAACAGACATTTTGACTACCCTTGTCATGCCCATTTGTGAAGCATTCTTCATCTGTAGGACCTGGGTCTCTGTATTTGCCCTCACGAAGGAGAAACCTTTTACATGGCCTTTTTCCTGTCGTACAAGAAAGAATTTGGAAGACAACATAAAGAAGTTGCAAGCACTTCTCTTACCCTCAGCAGTGGTGGCGCGGCTGCGGGGGAGAAATGTTCCACTGCTACTGCAGTTGCGCTTGCTGCCTCTGCATTGGGCATCCTGCCTGCATTGGACGTGGCAGTCAGGACCTGACCCTTGACCTGCATCCCACATGCATCCGTGGGAAGAGAGGATGTCAGAGAGCAGCAGCCTTTGATCTTTCAGTGCACTGCGCACCCGGTAACCGATTTACTCAGCACTGTTCCGCTGATCCACCTAGGAATCCCGTGCATAGGCTAGGACGTCTCCACAGGCTCATCTTCCCAGTCTGCTCCTTTCGTTTCCTACTTCATGAACGGTCAGCTCCCACAGAAACCTGGGAGGCATCTGGTTTCCCTACTCTCCTCATCCACCTCCGGTTCAGCACCCAGCCCTGCAGTCTGTGGCCTCGCTTGCCTTACGACTGCAGCTGTCGTTCCCAGTTACCGTCCTCTCTTTGGATATTCTAAATGATACCCTGCCTCGCCTAAATGTCATCCTGCCCTCCCTCTGCCTGGGTTATCTTTCCAAAACACCCCGTCACTGATAGCCCCTGACTTGCAGACCTCCGGGGACTCCGTTTGTTTGTGGGGAAAGGCAAACAAAGGATTCCGTGGGTGACCCCGGCAGAGGTGCCCCAGGGAGCTC